CACGCTAATCCGTGCTTGTGGTGTGACCCTGACCCCCACCATCCGATCGTGCAATTCCACACCAACGACAGGATTTGGAGGCGAACGTATAACGTGCCGCAACTCTTGGCGCGGTACGTCCTACCCTCCCACGTCACCCGACCGTTCAGCGCGGTCGTTGCTACCGGCCGCAGGCGATACCCGTCAAGGACGAAATGACTCGAGCTCGCCCACCCCGCCACGGGTTGGTTGTGAAGCAGACGCTCCAGCCGATCGCACCACGGGAGCGAATGTTCCACCGACGCCCGTCCGCTCTCTCAGGTCCGTAGTCGGTGCTCGCCGGCCCGTTCACGCGCTCACGTCGCGCGGACATTGCGCACGGACGGCTTTTTGTGCGCTTCTGCTCATTCCGCGCGGCATAGCAGACTCCGACAGCGCCACATTTGACATGCCGTTGTTGTTGTTCGGGCTTGAGGGCGCGTCGACTGCCGCGGCCATTTTGCGCCCAAGTCAGGCCGACTCCAAAACGATACATTCGGCCCACCGTGGACGCTCGAACGGGCACGTTCAAGCTAAATCTCGGTGAATATTTCCTTGCTCGTCTATGGCTGTATAAAGTCGCATTTTCTCATTTCAGAGCCCCCGGCCCCAACCACGCCCGTTACGAGACCCTCTTAAGGCGCCGCCGGAGGAGGCAATGACGCGCCAGCACGTGCCCGAATGAGTGTTTTCGGATGTGGGTGGGTGTTCATTTGTGCGGTTATGACGATTGAGTCTACATTGCTTCACGGTTCCAAAGCCGGCTCGATGTCGGCTGGCTTATTGAATCCTCATCCGGCCACAGGTGTACCTAGACCCATTACAAGCAGGTGCCTCGAAAGATGTCAAGCACCTCTGTGCCATGCTGTGGTTTGACTCACGCGCGTAATCCCACGGAGCGTTCAGCTGATGAGACAATGATTCAATAGAACGTGGTGACCTCTTTCACGTTGGAGATCCTCAGGAAGCAGTCTGAGGCCGTTATGCAACTTCTGCCGATTGTTTTTTAGTGAGAAAACCGGACCGGGTTTGCTCTTAGTTTCTTAGAAATTGAATGTCTGGTAGTGTAAATCCCATTGTTAAATGCAGCTAGAAATGTCAACACCCATAACACAAGTTAATCAGTTTACGTCACAATACCAAATACAGCCATCGCAAATCACTCCTGTGCGGTGTGCCGTTCTTCATTACCCGGATATCGCTGGATATCCCAATTAGTGCGGTAATAAGGTGAGGCTAGACTGCCAAAAATGTAAGGAAAACCATTAAAAACCCATTGCACTGTGCCGAAGTGATATCAACAGAACCAGAATATATTGCACTTACTAAGCCGAATATGTATTATGTTCATCATGTTAAAGGACGTTTCATGGATTTTGAACAACCACCATGCCTGTGTACCTGAAGGAAATGGTCGCTTGGGCAGAATTTGTGCCTGATTGCCATATTTTACATGGCAGCGCAGTCGCATTTAAAGTGTGGCCTTACTGCCATATTGAAGACTCCTGCAACCTTGAGATTTTTTGTCCGACGTGAATTGGTTGACGGAGGAAGCTTTACTGTAATACCAACGCTGATTGCCTGCCTAGGAAGGGGAGTCGTAGATCGCGACCAGTCGCACTAGTTTCAGACGTTGAACCTTGCTGACTGTGCGCGGAGCGGGAGGGCGCCTGTGCGGTTACAGTTTGTTTTATTGTGGGTGTCAGTGTTGGACGTAACTGTTGTTATGAAGGTGTGGCTGGTTTGAGGATTCTAGAAAACAAGAATAAGTTAAAACCTTTTGCTCTAAGAACGCATCGTTTCATTTAAGACGTTCTAATGCTGACGGGCGTGCAGTTAAGTGTGGCTAAGCTTCGTGCCAATCTGGCGATATTTCTAATATCATTTATATGAACGGTGACGTGCGGATTACATAGAGCTGCATGAGTTCTGCACAGCTGCAAAGGCGTCGGCACTAGCCACGTCCGCCGCCATCGTGGACCCGGGGGCGGTGGTCGCCGCAGCCGTGAAGGTGGACACACCACTCCTGACCGCTGCCGCCAAGCGGTTACCATCGCTGCAGGCCGCTGGCGCCGAGCTGATGACCACCGCCGCAGGCCGCTGCCGCCGAGCCGGCCGCTGCCACCGAGCCGGTTGCTCTCGCTGCCGGCTGCCGCCACCATGGTGGCCGCTACCCCTGCAGGCCGCTGATGTGATTATCGGAAAATATCCGGAAGCGAATTAAAATATGACGACCTGGGCTCTTTATTCGACGCAAACAAGAAACGGTGTTGAGCTCCTGTTTTCGCGGTGTTATGGGCTCAGTTTTATGCTGACAATGCTCGATCTTGGATGCGCCCGGAGGTATTGATTCAACAACGTTATCCTGCAAGCATTGGTTATGTTGGCAATACTCGATGCTTCCAAGCAGTGCTCACGGGCACCAGTGGTCACGAGTTAACTTGGACCATGAGCACGGCTTGGGAACGTCCGGCATTCACAAAAGAACCAATGTTCCCTAGGAAAAGTCGTTTAACCAGCATCTGCTGGCGCATCAGAGCTCAATAAACGTCAGTGTAAAGACACTAAACCCATAATACCAGGCCTTTTGGAACATCAGGATAAGCCGACTTATACGCTTGCAGAAAATCGTACAGTGTTACTAAAATACAACTGTGAAACATGAACACGGTAGGCAACAGGTATGCATCCGCAATGATAAACAAATGCATAGGATAGGTAAGAGCCATGCATGCTACACCAGCCACATAACGACGTAGTGGCTACGGAATTAGATATGTGGAGAGTTCCCACCACATTCAATTCATGGAGGCAAGCGCACCAAGGTGAGCGAGCATGTGCACGTGTTGCCCATTCACCTTGGATTGGAGGCAGGCGTCTAGCGTACAGGGGATGTAAAGGGACAGCATATGACTCGAGTGATCGTCCCCAGACTTTCCCATGGCAGATGCTTCAGTTCACGCTCAGCCATTACTCAGTTCACATGGCTGAAAGCACCCGATGACCAATGATTGACTGATGATTTGCAGTGATGTGGAAGGTTTTTGTGAATTGTGCACACATATTCAGAAGAGATGTCAGCCAACTCCGTTTTTCATGGCCGCATGTATACATTGGTCATGATGGATCGCTTACCAAAGTTTGGCTGGTGACAGATAAGACTCCAGTCAATGGCAGAGAACTTGGTCCGGACGTCTCACGAGCGTGCAAAACTCAGCAGGTTGTATCAGGATGAGGGATTGGGTACCACATACTTCAGGTCCTTTTCGAAAGGCTGAGAACTGAGAAGACTTGCATCACGCCGTAACTCCCGCAAACGAAGGGCTGTCGGCATGGCTTTACTGACAAGACATGCAATCCACATTCGTATATTCACCGAGGTGACGATTGGGATAAAAAGTAAGGCGATGCAGGAGCAATGAAATAGGAATATGGTCGTTCGCGCACGCATTCGAAAGATTCTACGTTATTTCTCGGTGACATGTCCTCCAAAGAGACAATGCATTGACCAGGTGGATATACCACTCCCAGTACTTAAACTAAGGTCACCACCAGGGGATCCGACGAAATCACTGGCAGCCGCGTTCAAAATGGCTCGATGTCGGTCAGAAGTGGCTCCACGCTCAATCTTAAGCTTCAAAGGCTGCATCAACACCTTGAAGGGTGTGTTCCATATTTTAAAAAGATTTTGAACTGAAATAGCCGTTTTGAAGATCATGAGGTGCAGTTCACAGCCCTGCCCTCTGCAGACCTAACGCCCAATAGTTTCTGAGCTATACATCCGCGAAGATGTGCTGACTATTTCAAGGACATTTAGACATGCATGACGCCATAGGAAGATCGCTTAAATCCTACCACCCCACAGGCCATGCGGCGGTCAAGGTCAGCAGAAACTTTGTCGTTGATCTGTTTAGATCTGGCGTCCGTGGGTACAATTTCCAAATATACGGGAGGTCAAATGGCACTTAATTAACGTTGAGCAAGCTGTGAAAGCTTTCATCCTGAAGCACGTTTCACGTTCACTTGTTAGTTACAACGAAAATAATACTTTGAATCGAATAACTCAAGAACAACATCATACCCTAACATGTGGAAACAAGTCATTATCGTAAACTCACAGATAAACACGAATAACGCCACGAAAATGGGCCAACACAAGAACATAGAGATATTTGGCTCAGCGAACACCTTTACCATCACTGCCATCTCTCGGCGAGTTTGAAGTTCTACAAGTGACCGCTAAGGTGGCAAGTTCGCATAGCTAGTTTGGCGGCACCTCGCCGTCATACAAAGGTGCGATGACGCAATCAAGCAGTGGCGTATTAAGGAGTATATTTACTCAAAAGAGCAGTTGAGTTGTTTAAGGCAGTCTTTGCCACTTGACAGAATACCAATACTTACAAGTTAGCTTACTTCATCATGTTTGATGCTTGCTTTAATATCCTTAAATGTGGAACATTATCTTTAAAGGAAATGTTTCACATTTGAGGATATTGAAGCATCAGATAGGACGAAACCAGCTTACTTATAACCATTGTTATCCTGCTCTTACTGGAAAAGACTACGCAATTCTCTATTTAGCCCATATGCTCCAACTGCGTCATGGTTTGATTACGTCATTGTACCTCGTACAACATTGACTGAGCCAATTGACGGTGGTTATATCTGGAAATCGCGCTCACAAACGTCACATATGAACGCCTCGGCAATTATATTTTTCTTTGTCTTGATGGCCGCATGGCTTATGAACTGGCAATATTTTAACGACGTTATGACGTCTTGAATTCCAAGGTGACTTTGAAATACTCTCCCCGATATGCCTCTCCCCAATTTTGCAGGTGTGTAACTCAGGAACTAGAGGGGCTTAGGTCTCGAGAAGGGCAGGAATGTGAACAACACGGAAGGGTCTTCGAGACGGCTATTTCGGCTCAAAACCACGTATAAGTGCGGACCACTCCCTTCAAAAAGGTAAAACAAGCAAATATCCATACGCATGTATATTTGAGGGGTAGATGCACAAATCACACGGTACCTATACTACACAAGACCCGCAAACCCGAAGCTGGAGATGTCGGGGCCGACCGAATGTGACATAACTCTGTAACAATATCACGCCGTTCTTACGATAAACGCTACCTATCGACCAAATGTCATGGGCGAATGGATTTCCGCCTCCCTAGTCCCACCTCCCCTAGGTTTTTTCAAACTTAAGGTCAAATCCCTCCAAAAAAGAGCATTTGCCGGTTTCCTATGGCTATCATTGATTCCTGTTCTGCACAAGTTTCGGCTCTCTGACCCGTCGAAGGACAACTGCAACGTTGATTTACAGGAGCTATCCAATGTTAGAGATCGCCATTGGCATTGTAAAGGCATTTACAGGCCCGGGATACATCCTAACATGATAACACAGACGCTAGTTGCAACGCTGAGAGCACCGTGTGATTGTCTACTTGATAGATAGGACTGCTACCGGCCATGTTTCCGAGCACAATCCCAGAAGTGCAGAGCAGCATCACACGAGCCGGTCGCAGATGACGTCACACGACGTGCGTCACATCATGGATGACGTCACTCGCTCCACACGGAGCCTAACATCGCGCAGCTTCCAGCCCCTCAGCGCGCCGATTGTCGCTCCGCGCCCGGTAACAAATCGTAAGACGTCACACAGCAACGGTCCGAGGCGCAGCTGATGTCACATTACACCAATCCACGCCGCCGAGATGTCACACGACGGCGATTTGGCCAATACCCGCGGGCAGTGATGCGTAGGACACGCGACGCCTGGCACGCCAGCGGACCTACTCGTAACGATACGCCCTGAAGAGCAACACGAGGAAGGCGATCAGGCGGTAGCCCACCAGCAGGCCTCCTAGCGCCGCCAGATCGACGCCGAAGTTGTCCTGCAACGAGCCACGCAGGGAGGTCAGGCCAGCGGCTGCGACTCGTGCTGGAGTCGCGTGAACACTCGATCGCCAGCCGAAGCTTGTTCGACCCTCGAATTGGACGCGGCTTGACCACCAACGGAAGCGAGGAGTCGTTCTGGGCGGTTATGAACGGGCTTCACGAGTCTCGCTCAAAGCTCCAAGTTGAAAAACCATCGAGGACAACCGCCAACAAGAAATAACAGTATCATCTGCTACAGGAACACAAATGAAGCGACTGCTGGAACAAACGTGCTGTTTGTCCTTCGCCATCCATTTGACAACGCCGAAACCCCTCACATTTGTCCAAGCTGTATGTGCAAACTGTATGTCTGCTGCCAAAAACACTATTTGTATGGCATGATTACATCATTTTAATTCAACGCATATCGCAACAATATGTGTAGTTAGCTAACAAGCTGCGAATAGTCGCAGCATGTGGTCGGAAGATTGGTGGGATTTTCGCGACCACTCACCACAAAAACATGCGTAATCGCAGAATCCCAGCCATGCATCAACGCCGTCGTCCACAGTTTGAGCACCATCTGGGTCGCTTACCACGCTGTAATTCAAGCTGTCCAGGACGACGGAGCCGTTTGAAGGACAGGCCGGGTTGCCGCCGCAGTCGATCGACATTACGTTCTGCCACTGGTTGATGCTGAGCGCTTCATTGGCGTAGTTGAACCAGGAGAGGTACTCCAGCCACTCCAGCCAGACAGGTACTGACCTGAGGTCAAGCGGTTCGCGGTGCTGTCACTCGACCCAAGGTAGCAGGCGCGCGGGCGTTGTTGCTATGTACCGATATTTTTGACGCTGTGTTTCCATTCCAATTATGACATTTTCAAAGGACCTTCGTGGTTTAATTCAAGGCAAGTAGAAGCACTCAAGACTGATGGTGTGTCCTGCAGCCGCAGATATGCTGCACGCCAAACAATTTGCACCACAGAACTGTCTTTCACTGTCATTGTGACCATTTGCACGGTGACACTATCAACACAAGTATGTTAGTGAACGTTTTACGGGACAAATCATTTTAATGGACCATTTATGGAAAACTTGGCTAGCCCGATATGGCCCTTACATATGCGAGGAATCCAAAAGCTGCTGAAAAATATACTGATTTCAATTGCAATGCCTTAATTTATCTTGAGCATTGCTTTCAACACCTTAAGTTAGCTATCAATCGTAAAACACCTTGAAATCCTCGGCCCTGACCTTACAAAAACATGCAAGGTCATGGAATTGAATTGCAAGTACCCACATGCAGCATCCGAGCGGCCCTACCATTGGATCTTATCGCAATTGTGATAGGTGTCTTGCATCGCTTGAGTGTGACTGTTTAAGCCCACTCTTCTCTGCATTTATAATATCTGCATTCATATAAGTATTGTGATGCTTGCAAAACTTCGTGACCTTATTTTACCTGATAAGACTCTTCCAGATGGTTGTACACATTAACTTTAAACGGTTTGTCATATTGTGCCCACTGTTGTCCTGTCGCCCTGACTGGGTGGTTATCATATGAAAATAGGGAACACATTTTACATCATAAGTACATTCGGCCTTCACCTGCCAACGCTTGTGCACATAGAATCAAATCACTGTCCACAACTGGAATGCTGTCAACAAATTCCAATGATATTATACGAAGATCGCAGCGCAAATATCCCAAACGTTTGTAAAAAAAAAACACGCATGACCTTAACGGCGCCAACTCCTGATCGTGAAATGCCATGTCAGCGGCAGGACATTGCCGGGAGAGTGTAGCGTCTCGCAATGCCTGGTACAGTTTGTCCTGCGCTGTGGCGCCCTCCGATCTCCTGCGCAGCTGCTGCCACCAACCGCAGGCCATCACAATCCGGAGCCGGCAGCGAGCGCGCAAAGCGACTCGCAGCCCTCCTCCCCCCCTCCCTCCCTCTCTCCCGCTAATCGGTGCGTGAGAGGGACGGACGGCGGCAGGTCCAACCACTGAGCTACCGAAACGGATTTGAACGAGCTGGTGTGCATTTGTAGTGTGCATGCATACGGGATTTGGAAACCACTCCGCGACTTCTAACGGGAAAATCCTTGTTGCGGCCCAAGAACAAAGCCGCAATCGAATTCTGACGATAAAAATTGCGTGACGATTTACCACACGGGCATTCCAAATGGCACATGCGGATGATCATCACACTCACTGGTCACTGCCATCGCCTGGATTTTCGAGTAAGCTACTTATAAGCACGAAGCAATGACAACACACGTATGTATTCTAACACTGCCGCACCGGCTCCGTCGCCAAATCACGCCAACGCCGCGTGCTCCACACGGCGGGAGATTGCCCCCCCCCCCCCCCCCCCCGCTCAGAGGTATGGCGCTACTCACCCGCTGTTGAGGAAGAAGCCTCCGAACAGCATGAGCGGGACGATCGCTGGCGACGTGACAGCCAGAGCCACGTTGACACTGCTGCACGAACATGACGTCATGTACCCTGAAACGGTGAACCGAGTGGTCAGGCGTGCCCGGGCCGTGCCGGGTCACGTGACGGGCCCGCGCCACTGGCGCGCCACGCAGCAGCGCGTGTACAGGACTCAAGGTGATATCGGTCATGGCGGTGTGCCAAGAAGCGTGCGACTCGAACATGTCGGTGTCTCGGCATTTGTTCGCTTGTGATAGGGCGAAAATGTATCTGCATCACAGGGTTAATTTGAACGCAATTTGCATGCTGCATAAGTACAAAAAATAACAAGCTAGATGTGTTCCAACGTATGCAACTTGCACGAATGGACATTTTCATCCCTTGCATTAAACGCAGACCATCCACTTCGTCTGCGCAAAGGACTTCCTTTACTGAATGACCTAATCACACAACACAAATGGTGCAACAAAATACTAGTCCGTCGCCATCTCGAACCTGAACACAAGATTCATTGAAAATCACTTCCAAGTTTTGTGCTATACCTTGCTGGTTTCAAGGTAGTTATGCTCAGAGCGTTCAGTGGCAAGACAAAAGCAGTGGTAGACCGTGCAGAACAGATATGTATGATATATCTTAACCGAATAACATAAAAATGACCGCACAACACTGACTTGGACTTAAATGTCACATGACGACCAGCAGAGGATGACACTGAACGTTGGCACAGCACCAAAACATGGGCTGGACAGACTCGAAAAACGCCTCAAACCCTTCGTACGCGCATGCCTTGTCCATGGAACATCTCAGCGGTGCACGTGAATCTAAAAGGCGCCTTCATGTATAAAATCATACCACACCAGGGGATTAGGTTAGAAAAATAAATTGAGAGCCGAAAAGGGAAAACGGCTAAGCGTCTCGTACCAGCTATACATAAAACAAGGAAAGACATGTTTCTCCGCAGATTTCAACCACAATCTTCCCAAAGATGTGAAGAGTTGAGTCCCTCTCCCACCTGAACAAGTTTCATCTCAGGGGGTGTTCCACACTTCAAAATATTCAAGCAAGCATCCGCTATACTGAAACAAGATCACTTATCACTTTCCCTATGCTTTTGAGGGGAAAGGCTGCTCTAAACGACACAATTTCTTTGTATAGTAGATATGCTCTTTAATACTTCATGGTTTGGTTACATCATCGTGCCTTGCGCAACATTGAACGAGCAGATTGATGGCCGTTTTATCTGTAAACCATGCTCAGGAACGTGAAATATGAACGACTGAAAATTATACATTTAGCCTTGGCTGCCGCATAACCAACAGAATGACACGATTTGAATGGCATTGTGGGGTCGTCAATGCCTGGGTCACCTTAAAATAATCTCCGATATAGTCCTCGCGGGCGTGTAGCTCAGAAACTAGAAAGGGTTGGGTACTGAAGGGGCAGGGCTGAGAACTACACCGAATAATCTTCAAGATGGCTATTTACATCCAAAATCCCATACAAATGTGCAACGCTCGCTTTAAAGGGATTGCTTCACAATTGAAGATATTGGAACGAGCATCGCATATGGCGAAACAAGCTCACTTATAACTATTGGTGGTACTTTTAAACTAGAAAAGACTGCTCTATACAGCGCAATTCCCTGTTTAGTAAACATGCTCCTCAATGTCTCATGGTTTGATTACGTCATCGTACCTTGCGCAACATTCATTGAGAACAAATTGACGACCGCTATGACTGGGAATCGTGCTCACGAACGCCAGATATGAACGCTTCGACAATTACATTTTTCTTGGCCTTGATCGCCGCATGGATTAGGAAATGGCAAGATTTGAATGATGTTGTTATGACGTCATGAATATCAAGGTGACATTGAAACACTCCCCCCGATATACCAGCCTCCATTTTCGTGGGCGCGTAGCTCATGAAACTGGACGGGCAAAATCAAAATAAGGGCAGGATTGTGAACAGAACCGAAAAGTCTTCAAGGCTTTTTCAGCTTCAATACTTTGTCAGTTCAGCTTCAGCAAGCATATTGCAGTTCAAAACCTCATGTAAACGCGGATTGCTCCATTGAGGCGAACGCGACGCAGGCCGCCAGACACTCCTTTCACAACAGCCATGCACCCTGCCTTGGCACAACGCCAGCGGAGCTACCTTGCGGTGGCTGCAGTCGATCGCATCAGGCCTCTGCTGCTGTTCCGCCTAGCTACGTACCATGTTATGTAACGCCTACGGCTCAGCTCCGCAGGATTGCGCAGCCTGCGAAGCTGACGTAAGACGTCGGGGCTATCCGCTCGTGCACGGAGGTGGAGGGTCCCTGTGCATTTGAGTGCCATGACTTGAATTTACGGGGCAGCGGGGAGGAGCCGACGGCGAGGGCCGTCTGCAGCCTTCAGACGTTCGGTGCAACCGAGAACGCCCCGGGTGATTGGCGGTTTTCGGAACTTTGCGACGTGATTGCTTAAACAGTGCCAATAACAATCCGTGGTAAATGCAGGCCACACAAGTGGCAAGTTAATGAAAGGGCTCGAGGAAGACGTGACTTAGTTGAGAGGCGCAGGCGCAAATGCACATGCGGTGAGCACAAGGTTGGCCTTATACACCCATGCGGGTTTTCTACGTCTAGAGCGCCCGTAAAAACATCATGAAAGACTGAATCATGAAGGTGAGGAAAAGAGGAAGATGGCGGAAGGTGGACAGCGAGGAAGACCTATCCACCTTACTCACTCACTTCCTCACTCACTCACTCACTCACTCAATCATTCACTCACCCCATTCACTCAGACATATTCTCACTCTCACCTCACCAGACACGTCTCTCTCTCTCTCTCTCTCTCTCTCTCTCTCTCTCTCTCTCTCTCTCTCTCTCTCTCTCTCCTCTCTCTCTCTCTCTCTCTCCTCTCTCTCTCTCCTTCCTCTCCTCTCTCCTCTCCTCTCTCTCTCTCTCTCTCTCTCCTCTCTCTCCTCTCTCTCTCTCTCTCTCTCTCTCTCTCTCCTCTCTCTCCTCTCTCTCTCTCTCTCTCTCTCTCCTCCTCCTCTCTCTCTCTCTCACTCTCTCTCTCCTCTCTCTCTCCTCTCTTCTCTCTCTCTCTCTTCTCTTCTCTCTCTCTCTCTCTCTTTCTCTCTCGCTCTCTCTGTATCATCCTTAAACAACCATCAACATTTCTTCCAATGTAAAAGAACGCAAATTTTGGGTACTAGCGCTTCATGTCCTGGCTGCACATCCACCTTCTACCTTGGGACGCCTCTATGACTTTTCTAGAGAAAAATGCGTAAACATTGAACATGGGGTTAACTCCTCACTTTGGGGACCGGCTGTTAAACCTAGGTGAGTGTCCCTTGTTTTGTTTAATCTTGTGAGCTTTTTTAATCTTTTAATGTTTTAGTTAATCTAAATGCTTTTTTAGGTCTGTTTGTGCTTAGTGGGAGGCGAACCCTCTGATTAATGGTAAAGGATCCTTTTAAACATCTGCGTTCATCCGCCTATGATCGTGGGCAAACTAGTAGAACGCCGCCCCTGCTTTCGTCAATCACGTGCCACTGATAGCTTTTTGCAACAAAAATAACTATTGCAACCAAACGTACGATACCCACTGACCTACATTCTTTTTTGTGGCCCGGTTTTCGCTATGCCTAATAATGTCAACTTTAGGTATGAGGACTGCAGACGTTGTGCCATCTATCTAAACAAGAAGAGTGCTGGGTTTTATGACCCGTTATGTGGGCAACATTGGCTCACCGTATTTTATATCACGGGATCCGTGATGCACACGGCCGGCTGAAGGCAAGCGAGGGGGAAGGGAGGGTTGTGCTATGGACCAAGACAGCTCGCTACCGCTGCTCGGATTTTGGAGAGGTGTGGTCGGCGTAGAGGGAGGTGCAGGGGGATGCGCGCCTGCTATCGACGTGCCCGAGAATCCACATCACCCCGATCACCGGCAGGGGGCGCAAGAGCACACATGCCTAGCGCATCATTGAGTCTCTTACTCACCCAAGATGGCAAACAAGGCTGTGTAGTGGAGTCGCATGACACGCGGTGCGAAAGCAAACGAGGCTGTCTAGTGGAGTCGCATGACACCCGGTGCGAAAGCAAACGAGGCTGTGCAGTAGAGTCGCATGACATGCGGTGCGAAAGCAAACGTGGTTGCGTAGTGGAGTCGCATGACACGCGGCGCGGAAAAATCAAGCTAGCTGCTTGTCGGGAAAGATATGCTTAGGCACTACCAAGCAATAATTTGTTATGGCTCGTGGCGGGTAGCACACCATGCAGTCTCTTGACTTTTGCCCCAGCAGCCCAGTAACAGCCGCGTATATACAAAATGCAGACAGCGTGTTTGTCGTACCCGGCAACCTGCTCTTGAACCCACAATATTAATGTAAAAAACTAAAAAAGCGCTGAGCATGATGCAAGCTTGAGCTTTCACCGCCAACGGGGACACAACTGAGTTGTCGACGCGTTGCTTGTGTTACGACGTCGGTGATTGGACGAGCCTGCTGACCTTGAGACCATGCAGACATCAAGATAGCCTTGCCGCAGTTTAACAGGCGAGATTCGATGAAAAGAGCACGCGACAGCGCAAGAGGCACGACAGCGTCCGGTGGGAGGCATCGCGATGCGGCCCCGGTACCGGCTGGCAACTAAGAAAGCAGGCACGTCCAGTCCGCTTACTGTCATGGACGACTAGCCAACCACGCCGTTAGAGTAGGCTCTTTGATATTTGAGACCGCTAAGATAACAGCCTTGTAAGACAAAGTGTGCTTCTCAAATACCGTACCGTGGAAAATCACACTTTGCTGCGTTTCTTTGCACTGTAGGCATCACATTTTGATGAGGCTCTGAGAGGTGTTGTGTCAAAAAAACTGCATATGCGAGCTTCATGTATCCGACCATGGGGTTTATCTTTAGGACGAACACGACGGTTCATGACCTGTGGCTTGCTGCTATACGTCATGTCGGTGACATTTTGGTGAAAACAATAAATGACGCTTATGTTTCTCAGGAAATGAACTACTAAGGTATTTCTAGACAGTTTTGCTTCATCTGTATCACTTCAAAGCGTATAACTATC